TGATTATGGAAATTATGATCTAGCCTTAGACTAAGAATAGCTAAGAGCATTATTATGATTTGGCCTTAGACTAAGAATAGCTAAGAGCGTTGTTATGATCTGGCCTTAGATTAAGAATAATTTAAGAGCACTATTGAAATAGTATCTGAATTGAATAAAATGTGTTGATATGAACTGAATAATATCAAAACTGTGAATGTCTGAAATGAACATCGTGTGCATGATATCAAAAGATTTGATTATGAATTTAGATTCAGTTTATATGGATGTTCGACGCATTAGATATGCTTACTCAGCTTTACCGCTGAGCGTGTAGTGTGTTTTATTTGCTACACGCAGGTAAACAGAAAGATTAATGTGATCCTGACGGCAGATGGGGCGAGATTGTCGGGATGGATGTGACAAGTTTGAAATGATTTATGATATGTCAATATTAAATTCGCTTCCGCAATATTGTTAAATACTCCGTACTGTATATGTTATGAAAAATATTATTGAGATTAATAAAGTGTGTTTGAAAAGTTTTAAATTATCACGATTACCAAATCAATACTTTAGTCCGAATGGGGCTGCAGACCTGGACGGATTAAGGTGTTACATTAGGTTTAGTATCTTTCCTAGTTGGATTAGATTTAGTACCTAATATCTTTCCTAATTTGTTTAATTCTTATTTTAGTAGGAATAGAAATTTCATTGTTTACTTTACCCTCTTCCTATATAGAGAGGGTTAGATCTTTGTATTCACAACAAGATTAAGAGTTTCACAAGACAATTCAATATACAGAGAATTTCCTCCCAAATAATTCTTTCATGGTATCGGAGCCAGTTTTGAATTCTTGAGACCTCAAACACGCTTCTTCCCCTATCGGTGGGCATACACAATTCAATGCCTACCGGCGGGATATTGTGATTTTTTTATTTTTTTTATTGTCCTCCCTCATTCTTGACGAAGTGGTCGGACAAGGGTTGTTCTACGGAGACAAACAACTCTTTCTGCGTTTACTGTGCACGATCGATCGGCATCGCGTCCATCGATCGTCGCCTGTTGTTGCTACTGAAGTACCGGAACGGTCAACCGTTGCTGAAGAACGGTTGAGTGGGTCGACCGTCGCGGCGGCAGTTTCTCTTGATCGCGGTTACTGTTCACGATCGCCCGGCATCGCGTCCATCGGTTGTTGCTCAGTTTCTGTGGTTTAGAGCAGTTCCCAATTTGTACGTGTAGGAATTGCACGTGGGACCTGCTGGAGAAGCTTGCGTAGATGCGCGAACCGAGAGAACGTTTCTTGCAGGTTTGGAGCATATCCCAATTTGGACGTGTAGGAATTGCACGTGGGACCTGCCGGGGAAGCTTGTGCAGATGCGCGAACCGAGAGAACGTTTTTTTATCTCCAAGCTGGGCATGTTGAACTCTCATGCTCCAGCTTAAGGGGGGTGTTAGAGATAAAAGAAGGAAACAAGATTGAAGAAGGAAAGTGTTAGAGACAGAAGAAGGAAGCGGGATTGAAGAAGGAAATCAAATCCCTTTGGGATTAGGTTTAGTATCTTTCCTAGTTGGATTAGATTTAGTACCTAATATCTTTCCTAATTTGTTTAATTCTTATTTTAGTAGGAATAGAAATTTCATTGTTTACTTTATCCTCTTCCTATATAGAGAGGGTTAGATCTTTGTATTCACAACAAGATTAAGAGTTTCACAAGACAATTCAATATACAGAGAATTTCCTCCCAAATAATTCTTTCAGAGAGGAAGTGAGAAAACGTTTTAAGATGGATGAAGTATGAGAAAACGTTTTAAGATGGATGAAGTATCATTTTTAGTAAAAATAGTAGCGGGAATATTTATTGATTTCCATATTCGTTATGCTCTAAAAGTGAGGATTAGTTTGCCGGTTTCAATATCATTTTTTCTTTTTTTGAACAGAGAGCGGGGGACAATATTGCTGATTTTTATATTAATTTTATGGGATATGCTAGGGGTACACCAAATGTGTACCCCAAATGTACACCACTCCCCTTTTTATCATTCATTTTATTTTATTTTTATTTTTTATTTTTTTTTGAAATTTTTTGCTTTTTTTTGTGATGATAGAGGGGGTGGGGGATGTTTGGGGTACACTTTTGGTGTACCCCTAGCATTTTCCTAATTTTATTTTTCATTTTTTTAAATACCGGTGGAGCATATAGTACGGAGTAATTAACAGCTGATTATTAAAAAACAAAAAAAAACTAATATTAATGTTGGTAGTGCTCTTCATCGCTCTTTTTTATGGAAACAAAAATTGATAGACTAAAATCCATCATTGGTCCTTCAATTTTATCAGTTGTGCACGATTGGTCCTTCAAGTTTCAAAAGTCCATAAATAGTCCTTCAACTTTATGAGTTCTGCATCATTGGTCCTTCAAGTTTCAAAAGTCCATAAGTAGTCCTTCAGGTACATGTCAGCCCTTCAGATGAAGTCATTTTGATAGTAAATGTTAAAAGTTAAATGAAATACTAGTTTCATATAATACGAGTTAATTCCACTATGTACGATTACTCCGTATTATATGGAGCTAGTATTTCATTTAACTTTTAACATTTACTGTTAAAAGGACCTCATCTGAAGGGCTGACGTGTACTCGAAGGACTATTTATGCACTTTTAAAACTTGAAGGACCAATCGTGCATAACTTATAAAGTTGAAGGACTATTTATGGACCTTTAAAACTTGAAGGACCAATCGTGCACAATTGATAAAGTTGAAGGACCAATGGTGGAATTTAGCCAAAATTGATATCAAAACTAGTAGACTAATCTTTGCTTTTAGAGCATAATAAATATGGAAATCGATATATATATATATATATATATATATATATATATATATATATATATATATATATATATATATATATATATATATATATATATATATAAAAGAATTAAGAACGCATCTCTTGCATTAGATATAAGACATAAGGGCTTTAAATATTTAAAAAAATTGAAAAAATCTAAAAAAAACGTGGTGTCATCATGGTAAATAAGTTGAACTTTACTCCTAGTGCCAAGAATGCACTACCACAATGTAAAAATGCATCATGGTGCATAAAAATACATCATTTTCATGATGAAGTCTATTTTCGCAGTAAAATTATTCTCACTTGAGCCAAAGTATGTGTGTGTGTGTATGTGTGTTGATAATTTTTTTAAAATGAAAGTATCTAAATATTTCGAATTAAATTAGGTGACTCCTATTATGGTATACCCCGAGTAGTTAAGTTTTATCCTGTCACCAAATTACTTTCGTACAACTTTTCAGGTGCCAATTCTGGGGACGGGATAAGCAAATTAAGTTTTACCTTGAAGATTTCTTTTGATATCTCCCTTAATTTTCCAAAAAGTCTCGTTCTTTTTGGGACGGAGGGAGTACTATGTTACAGATCCATAGACAGGTGTGTCTCTCTCTCTCTGTGTGAAACATCAAATTCCTCGTTAGTCGTTACTTAAAAGCCCGTAGGTTTCTAAATTTTTGCATTTAAAATTCCCCCTTTTTTGGCTGGTGCGGAAAATCGACGACACGGCACCACTTCACCCTTCCAAGTTCGAAGTAAATTCTCTATGCTTTCACCTAATGTTCAATTGATTTCTTGATGAAACATTCGCAGAATCTTTTCTTGTTCATGTGCTATCTAATGCATCTTTCTGTAGTTGATTTGATTCGATTTAAGAATCTGGGTATTATTACAGTGTTCATCCGAATTGCAATTTTTGTTGTTGTTAACTGTCCTCCGAGTTGGCTTATCATTTGTAAAAATGTGAAAGATTGATTTTTTGCTGAAAAATAACTGAGGATTACCATTAATCAACTAGCTTTGTCAACTCATGTTAGTCGACTGCATGCCGTCGAGATGCAGATGTTGTGGTGGATGTGTGGCAAACGGGGGTTGGATGAGAGAGGCTCACGATAGTGGGCGGGTGGGGTAGGAGTAGACCTAGGATGAATTATAAAGAGGTTATTACACATGGCTTAAGATTTCTGGCCAAGACGATACGAATCTTAGATAGGAGCATCTGGAGATCTAAGATTGGCATGGTTGGGTATCCGGTTGGGCCTTGGTGATTGTTTTTTCTCTTGTCATTTGTGTGCTTTCAATGTTTTGTGCTTTTTGTCTCTTTGTGCTTTTCTTTACCCTTATAAGTTTGCTCTTTGCTTTTTCTGTTCGTGCTTTGTGCCTTTTGTGTTGCTCGAGCCAGGGGTCTATTGGAAGCAACCTCTTTACTTTCAAGTAAGGATAAGATATGCGTACACACACCCTCCCCAAACTCTACTTTTGTGAGATTCTATTCGGATGTTGTTACGTACTATATATTGGCTATATACGAGTCACTAATCTTTTTTTTCTACTCCGTAATTTTTAAAAGCTTCTTAACACTTTAAAGTTTTTCCAAGAGTTTGATTACCTCACTATGAGTTTTCTCTTGGTGTTTGTTTGTCATATCTAACTCATTGCATAAGAAGGTTTGCCATTGTTATTGTTGTTATTGTTACGTATTGTTTGGCTTTAATATTTGCTCTAAATAATCATTGACTGCCTTATCCCAAAGAAGATATTTGAGTTAACAGTTAGCTAAACAACCTGAGTTTGAGCTGCCATTGTTGATCTAATGCGGCCTGCCGTGTGAATGTGATAAATTATATGGGGTTAAAGTTTTCGCTGTTATTATTCTCATTCATCAAGTCATCAACGTCATATTTATACTAAGTATAACCAAACCCTAGGATCAAATCTTTCATACTAAGATAGCAATATTCCTAAAATCAATTATAGTATTCTTTCCATATTTTAAACTCCTTTCCTTGATAAAATCTCCATCAGAATGACCGTGTATTTGTCTTTCTTAGAGTCTTACAGACTCCATGCTTTAGAAGCTTGCTCTTGATCTCTCTGGTTGTATATATATGCATTACTTGTAAGTAGTAATTTCATATGTTCATTTCACTGTTTCAGAGAATGGCGAACGACAAGAACTATCACCATGATATCATCAGCCACCTTCCCGACTGTTTAAAGGAATCCATCTTAATCTGTTTGCCTCTTCGAGACGCTGTTAGGACAAGTGCGCTTTCAAGAAATTGGAGATTTGCGTGGACTAGACTTCCACATCTTAAACTTGACCGAACACTGTGGCCGGGATCATTTGCCAGAAAGGACTTGGCACTTTGCACATATCTTAGACGCATCTTGAATGTTCTATTGTCTCACGAAGGTCCTATCACCGAGCTCACATTTTCATGTCCTAGGTTGCAAGTTTGTCCTGAGATTGACAAGATACTTTTCATGTTGTCAAAGCGTAATGATATAGAGAAGCTCACACTTAATATTGGCTCTGACCAGTATAAGTTACATTCGTTGTTCTTTAGATTTCAGAAAGTGAAACATGTGAAACTTTATTCCTGCTCCATTCACCCACCTTCTGGGTTCATCGGATTTACCCAGCTTCTCACTCTTACAATGTGGGGGGTAGCCATTGGCTCAGAACAGCTTGTAGGTCTTGTTGCTCGTTGCCCCTTACTTGAAAAATTGAAGCTAAAAATCTCTCATGCATATGAAACCCTTGAGATTCAGGCTCCTAAACTTAAGCGCTTTATATTTCAGAGCAGAATAAAATCTGTTTCTTTCAAGAATTCTCTACTTCTTGAGGAATTTGTAATTGCCCACTACTCCCCACCTCATGATACGGAGCAAGAAGAAAGCCCGTCACTAGAGAAATATATTTTTTTTGAGCTAATAAGTTCTCTGCCACAGCTTCGAAGACTATGTTTTGATAGTTGCTTTATGGAGGTATGGAAATTGGTATTCCGTCGATTTCTATTAACACGTCCAAATTTCTTAATGCTAATATCAAAACTCACTTTTGGCTTTCGCTTGAAGTCTGTAACTGCAGGTGGAATCCCAACAAGGCCTAGCTTTACCTTAGTCCACCTTAACAAGCTTGAACTTGAACATTTCTGCTTATACTCATATGCGGAGATTTCATGTTTACTTTGCTTAATTAGGATCTCACCAAACTTACGGCAAATCACAATGACTGTGAGTGTTCAATCTTTTTGTTAATTGCAAGCATTTGTGATATGGGCTTTTGTGCCTTAGTTTATATTTTAATTTAGATGAGAATGCTATGATAGGGGTGTCTGGATCTCTATGGTGGTAGGATTGACCTTTTGGCTTTAGTTGTAGTTTTTGTCAGTGTGCTTTTGTGCCTTAGATTATACGGAGTAGATTTTGTCTGAGTCTTTGTTATTATTAGTGATCTTACCTTGTTCATGATACTTTTCTTCATCATGGTGATCATGTGTTTTGAGCCAAGGGTCTTAATTTTCTCAGTGGTTAAGGATTGCGTGCACATGCCCTCTCTAGACTCACTTAGCCACTTAGTTTACTAGGATCGTTGTTATTGCAAGCAGGTGTAAAATCTTGAGCTTCTTTCTAATATATACTATATCTCGGAAGGGTTCTAGAGCCAATGTCTCGAGTTGACACTGTTTTGGCACTACCTTTTTGGAGCACTTAGGATGCTGTGTTTGCAAAATTGATGTTTCTTACCCCCCTAATCCCCCAGTAAACCCCCCATACCCCCCACCCTGACCAACCCGAGCCCACCCCCTAACCCCATCAATTTCGACTCCCAAATTTAGTTGACTTTGTGGTCAAATTCTTTGACCCATTTGCTTTTGCTTTATGAGCCAGATCCAGGGTCTTTGGGTTTCTTGAAACAGCCTCTCTACTTCCAAGTAGGGATAAGGTTACGTACACATCCTCCCCATACCATACTCTCTGGGCAATCTTACCGGGTTTGTTCATTGTTCTTATTTGTTTCTGCTTCATAGATATGGACAGATGATAGTGAAAGTGCATTGGGAAATCCTGCCTTCAAATTGGTGGGTGCTGAAGAATACAATGACATAAAACTGGATCAGCTAAGGGTGGTGGACTTGGCATGTTTTACCGGTTCAAGGAACCAAATGGAACTTGTTAAGTTTCTACTAATCAAATCCCCCGGGCTCAAGAAAATTGAACTTCTAACCGACGTTGACATACTTTTGGAAAGAAGATATGCGATACTGCAAGAGCTAACACAATTCCATCGTGCATCCCCAACGGCAGAGATTGTTTATAGATAAGGGAGCCATTAACTCAATTAAGCATTGCTAAGCTCTTTCAGATGTCACAAAATGCCAAATTGGTAATGTTTCTTACTGTTCATTATGGTTGTGCTTAATCTACCATACATTTATGATTTATGCATTTCTATTGCGTAATGCTACTTTAACCCCAGGGATGGCACCAATCGCACATATGTTCTCGCACAAACTGTCATTCCGTGAAAAATCATTGAAAACTATTGTCTATGAAACACTAAGACTACGTTCCGTTCGCCTGATCTGATTTTAGTAAGAACAAGTAATAAGGTGAACGGAACAGACCCCAACATGGTGCGATTGTAGCATGACTCATATTTGTTATTTTAGCTACTCCATGCATGGGTACAAATTGTAAGTTGTGAAATAAAGGTCTTTTTTACTGCTTTTGGAAGTATATGATGATATAGGATCTATAATGAACTAAAAAAATTCATACTTGTACACTCATGTTAATTTTGAAAAGTAAGGATGCTCCGGATCCCATCCGAACAAAAAAACTATACATTAAACTGACATTTTTTTGGTTTTCGTAATCTTGTTTTTAGTTGGAAGAAGACAAAAAACGATGCCGAATGAGCCCTAACTCTGAGTAAAATGTTTCTTAATTTTTTTAAAGTACACTTACTAACCAGATTATGAAAATGGGTAGATAATGAAATAGATAACTCACTCTTCCTCTTCTCTTTGCAGGTGCTTATGTTGAGCCCTCCATCATTATCATTTCTTGATGTTGTGTGTTTTAGGGAGGCAACATTATAATATGCTTAAGATTGTCTTTGTGTTTGGCTGAACCATTAATGCACTCTTAAGTTTTTTATATTTGTACTTATTGTAGTTTATAACTTTATATTATCTATTTCTTCTTGCAATCTAGAGTTTGTAGACTCATGGGTATGCGAGTCAGGTGCTTCGTTTAACTCTAAAATGGTTTTTACCCGTCAACCCACTTCAAGCTCCTAACATAAAAACATACTTTTCTACTTTACTCGAAGAATAGAAAACTTATATAGTACTCGTAGGAGTTGTAGCTTTTTGTTTTCTAATTTCAGAAAACAGACAGAGTAAATACTCCCTTTATTCGGATCGGAAATAAGTTATACAACTTCATCATGAAACTTAAGAAAAGTGTATGGTTGGAATCTCTAGCCCCATGATACAAGCTCTTTGGTGGGATCAATTGCGGATGTTTTATTTCCAGCCAAGTAGAAACTTTGCAAATGTATTTCGATAATTGTGTATTTTTTTTATCATTGATTGATGTGTATTTAATCAGCTGATATTATCATGTACAACATGAAACATATTGTCGTACTGATTATGAAAGCATACACTTGACATTTTAAATACGAATTTTACTTGTAGTTTATATTTTACACCAGTGTTCATGTTCACATAAATCTGAATTGAGAATAACTTCAAACATTGTAAACCAAATTAAGCAACTTATTTATGTTCTTAAACCACGTAATAAGAAAAAAAGCACAGTACTCCATAATTAAACAGCAAATTCAAACAGAAACGGTAAGTTTTGAAGTGACTATAAATCTCACATGCATTTAAACTCTGTTTCATACCCATCGCGTCGGGACAACGGGATCGAGATTCTTGCCCATTCCTATGCTTCATTACATACTCCCTTTCGGTTCGCAAGAGAATTCAAATTTTTTTACTTTAAGCAAACTTAAAGCGTGTATATTTCGTAGTTATTTTTTAATTTTAATTTTAGATGTGATAGATAAATACATAGTAATGAATAGTTATGATATTATCATAGTTATGAATGGCGACTGGCGAGTGGCGGGCGAGCGGCTGTTTTTTGTGGCGAGTGGCGGGCGGTCAAATGGCGAACCAAAAAAAGCGAATATATATATATATATATATATATAATTATTAAATACAATTAATATCTATTAAATGAAAATACACAATAAATAATATTAATATTTTAAAAGAAAAAAATCAGTATTTTTCTAAATTGAAAGAATAATACACAAATTGAATCTATAATGGTAACTATTAGACTAAAAGAATTGTAACTATTAATATTTATTAACTGAATATAACACAAACTAAAAAAAGAATAATAATATCCTGACCTGAATCTGTTGCAAGTTGACCAAGGTGAATCGCTGGGAGGTTGCGACTTCTGAGACAGGGAGCAGAGTTGAAGTTGCTACTTCAGAGAGAAGGAGCAGAGTCGACTTCAGAGAGGGGGCAGAATCGATTTTGACTGGGAATTGGGAGGAGAGGATCAGCGATGAAAGACGGAAGATTGGAAGGGGATAAGATCGATTAAGGTAATTGATGAACCGACTTAAGGTAATGGATCAAATCATTTAATTCCAAACGGGCTTAAGCCCAATTTAATTAAGCCATTCGAACATATCTGAATGGCGACATAAGCGCTCTCCAGACGCCATAGGACGCAGCAAGAATGGCGACCGCCTTTCATCGCCTCAAGAACAACGCCATGCACAGCCCAAACCAGGCGTTTTAGTCTCGCCACAGCGCCATGCGAGCATGGCGAACGCCATTCATAACTATGGATGTTATATATAATGTGTTTCATAAGAGTTAGTAAGGTAAAAAATACTTTTTAATAGAAAATGAAAATATTTTCGGAATGAGAGAAAAGTGAAAGTATAATTATTTTGTGAGAATAAAAAAATTATTCTCTTCATCCCTAAGAGAATGCCACAGTTTGACTTTTTTGGACAAACTGTGGCACTATTTGACTACGAATTAAATATATATTATAATAACTAAGTATTATAAAAATTTGATATTTCAAAATTATATTTTAAAATAAATCTAATTTTACTAAATTTACTTTATACTCCCTCCGTCCCTTGAGGTTTTTCGTAGTTCGCGTTACGATGTTTGGTTGAAGTTATTTTAAATTTATTATATATAAAAAATGAAAATTATATATTTAAATATTTTCAAAACTAGTGATGTCATGACTATATTATTTTGCCAAATTGACAACAAAAATAAGTAAATAAATTAGATAAAATTTGACCTTGTGATTAGTACCGTAAAAGAACCTAAAAAAAATGTGAAGAAATAACTAAATATATTTTTTCTCTTATTTTGACTTAAAAAGTCGTAATTAGACAAGGAGTTTGTACAAAAAAAGAGTGGATGTTGTGTCCGATATTTTTGCCATTTGATTCATTTCCGTCTGCACATTCATTCTCGTAAACCTTTGGCAGCATTCATTTCGCCTAATGTTCAATAGATTTCTAATGACTCGTCCCCTCACTCTTTTCTTGTTCATCTGGTATTTAAAGCACCTTTCTGTATTTAATGTACAAATTGATAAAGGAGAAGATATTCTGTACATTGAATTGTTCTATTTAATTACAAGGGGTTTCTCCTTTATTTATAGGAGAGGATGATTTCAAAATAGACAAGGAATACAAATCCTACAAGGAAACAAATCAATAATCAAATTAGGAAACAAATAAATTAAGATCAATCCTAATTAGAATGGGATTCGGTCATCATAGGAGTTGGATTTCTCGAGTTCGGATTTCTCGGAATTCGGATCTCTCGGAATTCGGATTTCTCAGAAGTTGGACTTCTCCGGATCCGGACTTCTCAGTTCCAATACCATACTTTTATGAATTTCTTTCGAGTAAATTTAGAAAAAATTACTTTTTACTTTTTTAATTTTGAATTTAAAATTAATATTTTTAAAAATATAACAATACACTCTTGTTAGAGATTTGTCTAACGATTAACAAATTTTGTTAATTGTTTTGGGAAAATATAGTATTGAATTACCAAAAATAATTCAGAGTATCGATCAAGAAAGAAAATACAATAAAAAAAAATTGTAGTGATTTATAAAATTTATGGGTTCCGTTTCGGAGAAAAAACAGATTACAGTAAATACAGATTACAGAAAAAAACAAATAATTTGAAGTGCAGCTCAAGAAAAATACAGTAAATCACTCCCTCCGTTATCAAAAAACTTACAAAATGCAACAAAACACTTCCTCCGTTTATGGGTTCCACTTACGGAGTGTTTTGTAAATGCAACTTACAAAAAATGAACTCCCTCCGTTATCAAAAATACTTCCTCTTTCATTTTTTTCCCTTCCAACAAAACACTTCCACTTTCTATTAAAAAACCACTTTTACCCTTACTTTTTCATACCCTACCTATCACATCATACTTTATCTCTAATAATCTATCCATCATATCTTACTTTTATCTATCACATCAAGGGCAAAATTGGAAGTCAACTACAATTTAATACTTCCTTATTTTTACACAAAGTCAAAAGAGGAACACTTTTTCAAAACGGAGGAAGTAGTTAGTTATGAAGTTAATAAATTAGCTCTATTGTGTAGAATAATTTATTTTCTAATTATTACCATATTATTGGTTATTGAAAAAAAACAATTAGTTTCACTCTAAAAACACTTAAATTTGGTATTTTTTCCAAAAAAATAAAATAAAAATACATTTAAAGAAATTAAAAAACGAAAAAGGGAGAATTTACCTAAAATAATCCCATCTTTCATTTATTTGCGAAAAACGGGCATTTTTCAAAATTTCCGTTAAGTGACCGTTAGTTTTTTAACGGCGACCCAAAACTCGCACACATGCGGGAAGGTGGTATTATTTCTGGTGAGACTGAAAAGTAGGATTATTTTTGAAAGAGCACTAAAAGGTGGGATTATTTGAGATAATTTTTCCTTTTTTTATATAATGTATATGTTTTTTGTGGTATGATGAAAGAATTTTCAATTTTTTTATCTCCTGCAACTTTTTTTCTCTGCTGCAAAAAATCAATTTTTTTGGGAAGATTATAATTTTCTGTTGGTATGCTGCAAGTAGACTTGCAAACTTTTATGATTTTGTTCTTTGTTTTGAATAATGCATTGATAACTTGATTTCTAAATAGTAAAAATTTTAATTTTTAAATACGCCTCTTAACCCGCTGGATCAACCCGAACCTGATTACTCTGAGTCATGAACAAGCATTCTTAGCACGAACCCGAAGTGACCCGAACACGAAATAATCCGAATACGATAATACCTAACCCGAACCCTACTTGACCCACTGTTTTGTCAGGTCTAATTTTAACGACTAATTTGAGAGTATTCCTTATCATTTTAGATATATATACTCTCTTCGTCTCAATTTTGATTACACATTTTATTTTCACTCTCTTATCGATAATTTTTGTTTATTTGTGTGTTTTTATTGATTATTTCATAAAGTAAAATGCTTTTGTCACTTTTTGTTTTGTATAACTTCTGATATAGTTTTTTAGTATGTAATTTTTATTTTTTTATTAATGTGTCAATTTCCAAATAAAATAATTTCAAAAGTATTAATTTTATCTCTAACCCAATTTGTACGGAGTAATAAAAATGGAACGTATATGAGTTACTTCCTACCGAATATAAGGGCCGAATAGAGCCGATACCCCTTATGGTTTGCAAAACAAGCACCAATACTCCTTATGTTTTCAAAACTCATTTCTAAAGTCTATGTGATTTCAAAATGTTGCACCCGTGCCCCCTCTAATCATTTTCCGACCATTTTTTCAGCGAAGAAGGGGGGCATTGGTGCATTTTTTAAACCATAGGGAGTATCAGTGCTGATTTTTATTTTCTCACATATTTTTTGTTTTTTCCATTTTTCCATTTTTATTTCATTTATTAATAAAGGTTTTTTAAAATTATTTTTATAATGTTCTTAAAATTTAAAGTTATTTTTTTTTGAAAAAATTAACATATTAACATATAATGCATATGTACCTCTTAAATTCACAATTTTTTCTGAAAAAAAGTAATTTTTTTGAGAACTTCAAAAAAATGAGGAATAAAATAAGAAACAAATTAATACAAAAATAAAAATGAATATCTCTTTTGGACATCCTAATTCTAAGAACTTTTTTAAGCGTGTCCAATTTTTTTTGTATAAGGCTTTTTTTGCGTATTTTAATTTTTTCATTTCGTTTTTCCAAATTTTTATTTTTTTATTCTTTGTTTTTTTTTAACTTTCCAAAAAATTATTCTAAGTAACAAAAAGTGAAATGTTTAATTTGAGATAGATGTAATGTATGTTAATTTTTTTATTTTTATTTTCATTTCAAACACAAAGAATTTGAAATTTTTTGAAACATTATAAAAAAATTGAAAATATATTTTTAAAAAAATCTAGGAAAAAGAAAAAGAGATTGAAAATATTTAAAAAAAGAGAAGAATAATGAAAATAAGAAATGAGCCGAGACTCTGCCCCTCTTCGCCGGAGCTATTTGGCCCCAAATACAAAATAAGGGCAGGGGAGTTTCAGGTTTTCTCCATCCGCCGCCACCCCCGAATCTCGATCGTCTTCTCCGGCCGTCCAAGTGGAGTTACAGGTTTTCTATCCAAACCTTATTAAATTATGTCTCTGATCTGTGTGTATGCGTCGGAAAACGCCACTGATTCGATGGTGGCAGTTTTCCGTACACCGGGAAGCCTGTCGCCCAAGGAATGCATCCTCAAATTGTGTTCAAATCCACTGTTTCGTCTGACTATTTTTGACGATTCTTGCACAATTTCAAAGCGAAGAGTCAATCAATTTTAGTTTTAATCCATTTGTTCTTTGATTTAGAGCTATTTTTGACGATTTTTTGCACAATTTCAAAGGGGAGCTCCCTTGTGACGATTTTTGAATAATTTTTCTTTTGGTTACTTGGGGGGGTCTGTTCTTATGTGTGTAGTTTGGTATGCTTCTGTCAAGTCAATCAGTTTTAGTTTTAATCCACTTGTTCTTGGATTTAGAGCTATGGAAATTGTCATGGAGAGACGTGTGGTCCAGTGTCATCTGACCCGATGCACAGCTGCTGTTGCTGCTGCTGCTAGTGATAGAATCAGCCAAGTCCCTATTGAGATACTGGAACACATTTCATAAACAAAGATGTGGTTTTTATTTTTTCCAACCCGAACCAATATCGAACGAGATAGCAAACAGACGTCACATTGTCCAGCTCGAGATAGCAAACAGACGTCACGTCAAAGATAGAAAAATCGCAGAGTTGCTGGCTACTAAGAGAAGTAAAACATCCCTTAATTTTCAAACTGCGAAGATTCTTAAGAGTAATGTCACAGTTGAATATGTCTTCACAAGCAATATATAAGAGATTCTCTAGCCTAGGAACATCAACGGGGTGAAAAGAATACTTTCTAGGACCAAACTCAACGTGTTCAAAATAAAGTGACGTAACATTCAGTAAACTGGATGGTGTAAAGGAGCCGCTTGGGGTAACACAAAGCTACAGCAGATGCAATCTATGGAGTGTTGAGCATGAAAATATGCTTATGCAATCTGGAAGCATGTATTCGTGGTGCCCAAAATGGAGGTAGATTTGCTGAACACCTTGTCGTGAGATTGAATGCAGCCACCGATCCATGTCAACTGATCGATACTTAACAGTATGTTTCTGACGGTAAGGAAACACAAAGATGAATTCCAGGATATGTCCCGTGTGCTGCGAAATTACTTTTTTGATTACATCTAAAGGAGATTTCCTGGCATCCTTGGTTACTGATATGAGAATAATGAGTTCCCTAATTTCTTACACTAGTTTAGTAGTAGTTATTTAATCTTGACGAAATGAAATGCCATCACCCACACATGACATTTATTTCTGGTCTAAATGTCTACCTGCTTCTTGCTATTGATGTATAATATGACATTTTATCATTGATGTTTTATCAGAATAGTGATTTGTCATGGCAAGACGAGTGGTCCAGTGCAGTGCATCTTCGGGAGACAGAATCAGCCTACTCCCTTTGGACATACTCAGCCATGTTCTCGAACTTTTGCCTATCCACGAAGCCGCTAAAATTGCAGTTTTGTCTAAGGGTTTGAGAGATGCCTTTGATGAGCAATTCTTTTGTTATTTCAAAAAAACCTGTCCGCGGGCTAGAAAAGATGTTAGGAAATCTCATTTTGATGTAATCGAAAAAGTAATTTCGCAGCACACGGTACATATCCTGGAATTCGTCTTTGTGTTTCCTAACCGCCAAGAAACATACTGTTAGGTATCGGTCACTTGACATGGATCGGTGGTTGCATTCAATCTCACGACAAGGTGTTCAGCAAATGTACCTCCATTTTGGGCACCACGAATACATACTTCCAGATTGCATATTTTCGTGCTCAACACTCAGTAGATTGCATCTGCTATGGCTTTGTGTTACCCCAAACGGCTCCTTTACACCATCCAGTTTACCGAATGTTACGTCATTTCATTTTGAACACGTTGATTTTGGTTCTAGAAAGTATTCTTTTCACCCTGTTGATGTTCCTAGGCTGGAGAATCTCTCATTTATTGCTTGTGAATACATTTTCAACTGCGACATTACTCTTAAGAATCTTCGCAGTTTGAAAATTAAGGGATGTTTTACTTCTCTTAGTAGCCAGCAACTATGCGATTTTTCTGCCTTTATCTTTGACGTGACGTCTGTTTGCTATCTCGAGCTGGACAATGTGAGTTGTCTCTATGTACTTTAGCTTGACATTTACTTTTTGACCACTATATTTATGGTATATAACTCTACATTTGATGTGATCTAACTTTACTTCCATGATTTCGTAGTTGGACCTGGGGAATTATGCTATAAGGAGGCTTTTGCAAGAGCTGCCCTCACTTAATGTTGAACTGCTCAAGCTATGAGATTTTCATTACCTTCCCGGTGTCACTTTTTCTGCATATGCTTGCCTGCTGTGCAAATGCCCAAAGTTGAGAAAAATTGATATTGGATTGAAATGTGGTGTAAGTGCGCTCTTTACTTGTCAAAATTTTGGTTAAAATGCTTTGGTTTTCTTGTTGATTCGTTCTATTCTGGTTTAATGTAGTGGAAATGGGATGCTAAAAGGTTTTTAGATGAAACGTCGAAGTATCTGATTGAGTTTCGCGGAGCATTAATGGGATTGGGAGCGTCTCTTGTTCTGAAGTTGACGGGTTTTGCAGGATTGAAACTGCAAATGGCTTTCATCAAGGATGTACCTGCACTGGTACCAACTCTTGTGAAGCTCAATATCATACACTATCCCGTGAGATTTGACTGGGAAAATGGCCATGAGATTAGGGATAGAATTTCAAAGTTTTTCTGCGCATATGCAAACCCAGAAATTGTGTACAAGTGAGTTTTACATGATGGGTTTTGAGACATTCTATGATATGCAAGAGACAAATATTGCCACGTTTAAAGATGTTTTGCTTATTGGGGTCGGGTTCTAATCTGAATCTCAATTACTTATTCATTGATTCATATTCTTTATTGTGTTGGGAAATTCATTAACCCAATTATTCATTGCAAGTCTTAAACAAACTCTCTCTTCTTTTCATTTTTTAAACAAATTTTTGTTGTTGTTGTTAAGTTTAGAAATCCGGTAAGACTACAAGTCTACAACCAAATTTTACTACTCTGGGGTATATCCGTGTGCTTTCCGTTTGCAATAAACCTTATACTCTCCCCTATCTATTTATTTATTTATTTAAAAAAAAAAGTTTATACTCCCTATTTTATTGCTGTTGAAGGAATTTTACTCTCTTTTTGGGTGTCTTAAAAAATTTCAATAATTTTCTTAATAAAAAAAACTATAAACAATTAGAAACATAAAAAATTATTTTATTACTGAAAAGCATGTCTTTTATATAACAAATTTATTAATAATAAAAAATACCAAATAAGGTTTAAATAGAGTTAAATCAATTTTCAAGTTGTTTAATTAAGTAAATATTATTTTTAAGTAATTATTATAAAAATTTGATGTATGAAACTAAATCTTAAAACTAACCCAAACATTTTAAATTTGCATCTTACAGAAAATTGGGTATTCTTTTTCATAGTTTCCGGCAAATTTTCTGAAATTTGACCAAAAAGTAAAAAGAAGATTTTAATGGACAAAGGGCGGAAGTCGGCTAGAGGAAAGATGGAAGAAGAGGTTAGGTGGTAAAGGACTGGAAAAGGCGCACTGGGAGTTAAAGAACCAAGAGGAAGAGATTAATTTCCCTCTAGAAATCATCCTAAATAGGACTAAACATAGAGAAAAGTATCAAAATAGGACTTTCATGTTTTTTTCCCGGAATAGGACTTTGCACTGTGGTAATTTGACTTTGCATTGTGGTAATGTGGCAGTGCACATGTGCAAATTACTATACTTTTTTGGTAATGTATATGACCATGTTTGGTAATGTAAGTCTTATTTTGTGAATAAAAACATGGAAGTCCTATTTTGGTATATTTTCAATGTTTTAGTCCTACTTTGGTATTTCTCCCATTTCCCTCCTATTTCACTCCAAAATGAGGTTGATTTATTTTTTCAATTGGTTTCAATTGGATTCTAACCCGTACGATGCACAGTTAGATTTTTTAAAAATGTAAACATTATTCAAATATAGATATAAATGTAATTCGAAGTGTTCGAAAATTTTACACCTTCATATACAATTACTCCCTCCGTCCTAAAACTTTCTTCCCAGAGCACTATTCCAACTTCACGGGAATTTATATTTATTTGTGTTTTTCATGGCCTATATGATAAAATAAAATATTCTTGTCACCACTTGTTTTGTTGAACTTTTGACGTAGTTTTTAAATATGTATGTTTTATTTTTTATTTCTATACCAGTATTTAAATATTTAAATAAAATAGATTGAAAAAACTTGGGATTTTTCTTCGTTTTGCGAACCGGGAAGAAAGTTTTAGGACGGAGGGAGTATAAAAAATTGAGATCTAAAACAAAAAAATAAGTGATTGAAATTTATTTAGAAAAAAAAGTTATGGATCTTATAGTAATATATGAGAATTTTTTTGGATGGATATAAAAGTAAGATGAAATTATTAATTAAGACAAAGAGAGTCGTTGAAACAGAAATAGGAAGTGTGATTAATTTTATTGCACTCTCCAATCCTAAAAGTTTATCAAATTTTGACTTTTTTTTAGTCAAAATAAGAAAAAAAAATTAAGACCTAAATAACTCGGACTATAGACTACAAAGTCACAACTCACAACTTAAATTTCAAAGGGAAAAAAAATACGGAGTAAATTAAACTAAAGAAAATGCAAAACTATAAACTCCAAAACTAATGTTTATCATAGTCAAAAGACAGCCCAATAGTTATACAATTCGCTGGATGAGGGCTTCTGACTCTATCAGGGAGGGCGACGACCTCCGGTGGCGCTGATTTCTCTCTGAGGAGGGGTTTCCGGTGACTTGATTTGTGTTGTTGCGAGTTTGTTCTTCTGGAAGGTTTTCTCTTGAGTGATGTTCACGAGCTCTCAACAAGAGCACCAATTTGATGGATAATAAATCCACCAAATGATCCGACTTAGACGGTTAAAAATGATACTGACTTACCCAAATTACTCTTGACATAAAAAATGAATGGAATAAGAGTATATTTAAAAAGTGATTAGACATTGAAAAACTAGAAGAGAGGAATCAAAAGTAATTAAAATAAAAGAGAGATAGAGTAAAAAGTGACATTTATAATTTTATAGTTATAAAATATGATTTTCTAGGATATTTATTTTGAATAGTTATTTGTTGAATAATTAAAGTTTTAAAGGAAAATATTATAATTTCATTACTCTTAATAAAGATAGAATTGTAGTTGTATTAGTATGACGAGTAATTTCTAGAATATTTATGTATAATAGTTGGAACTTGAATAAATTTTACAGAGTATAAGAAAACATTACAAAGTATAACATTTTTAGTAGCTTTTAGTATATCTTTAATCTAATAATCTCAATCATTTAAGTTTAAGAGTGGTGTCCGGACATTGGATGTGAAAAAACTTGGAGTGGCTTCATTTGCCACTACGCCAACACTCTTCCACACAATATAATATTTTTTAATTTTTTAATACGTAAAAAGGTGAGAAATATAGTTTTAGAGTTATAAACATTGAATTTCTAGGATATTTGATTCAAATAGTCATTTTTTATTTTTTAAAAAATATTGTAGCTTTTTTTTCTTAATGTGTAGTTTGAATCACACCCACAAACTACACATTAAGAAAAAAAAGTTTAAAAAAGTAGTGAGGACCATTTTAAAAGAGTGATTATGTGATCGTTTTTGTTAAATGAAAAATAATTAGTTGTAATACCGGAGTGTATAATCTACTCCCTCCGTCCCAAATTATAATGCATGTTTACTATTCACATGGTCAAACTTCATTCACTTTCTTTCTCTATTTTTGTTAGCAATTTGATAAAATAAAATATCATTGTCACTACTAGTTTTGTAGATCTTTTGATGTAGTTTTTTAATATGTAATTTTTATTTTTTAATTCTATACCATTTGTCATATAAAATGGTTTGAAAATAATTTCAGTCAAACATCGTAAACCGAAACAGGCGTTATAAATTGGGACGGAGGTAGTATCATCCCTAAATAAAGTTTATTTTTGTTATTCGAAAAGTCAATCTATGGCCCCGTTTGGCATCAGCGTTAGAGATTAGTGTTAGCGTTTTGAAAAAGCAATCTGACGGTAGCCTTTAGTGTTAGTGTTTTCCGAATTAATCTACACCATTAATATTTTATCCAAAACGCTAACGCTAATTGAAAACGCTCTTCCCAAACAACCCCTATATAAGTTCTTTTGTTATTTTGGTACTCCCATTATTTAAAGAGGTTATTAAATTGGGACGGATAGAATAATTATATAATCTCTTTTCATATACTCCCTCCATCGTAAAACAAAATTCTCTCATGTTGGACTAAAACTTATTTACTCCCTATATTCTAAAATATTTTTCTCAGTTACTATCCACATAGTCAAATTTTAATCACTTTCTTTACTTGTTCTCGCTAGTTATTTGATAAAATTTGTCACTTCTTATTTTATACGTAGTAAAACTTTTCTTGTAGTTTTTAAATATATAATTTTTTAAAATTCTACACCTACATTCAAATAAATTAAATTAAAAATAAAGTTAATCAAACATCGTGCATGAAAATAGAAGAATGTTTTAGGGCCGAAGGAGTACCTCTTAATGCTCCATATATTTTAATTACCGTAAAATTTAAAATTATATATATACGGAGTATTATAAAAACATCAAAAAATTTATAAAACGAGTGATGACTTGCTATTAACAATCAATAAAAGTGAGAAGGAAAAAAATATACTCCGTACTCTGTAATTTAACTAGGTGAATCCCAATTGCCTGTATTCCAAAGAAGGAAGCAGCAGTAATTGAGTTTACAAACCCATCATAGGTAAATCATACACTTCATTCTCACAGTAAATTCACTGCATCAAGTAATTTACTACACGTCTCAGTTAGGGCGAACCTCAGACAAGCACTTTTATGTAAACATCATTTCAGAAAAGAAAGCATATCAAGTAATCAAAACCTTTGGATATACTAAGCAAATTGCCACTTTTATCGGAGAAAGTCAACGTCTCCTCCTCCTCTTCCTTCGTGAAGAATCCTCACTCTCAGATTCAGATTCAGATGATGATGATGATGATGATGACGACGATGATGATGAATCTGTAGAAGCAGTGGCGGGCTGCTGTTGCTGCTGCATGATGAGGCGTGGCATATTCTTCAAATACTCTCGGAGGTTCTCGGTGATCCCACCCAAACCAATGGAGGTGAAGAAATTGATGGCAAACCGAGTGTTCTTTGGACTGTCCTTTGGAAAAATAGACTCAAACGACTCTTGCATTGTTGGGTCATTCAGGCGTTCATTCAACAATCGGATCCCAAGATGTTCCGACAACTCCTGCATAACAGATAATATAAGCATTTTGTTTCCTTCAAACTTTTTTTTATGAGTACTGCTTTGCATATAATAGCTGCTCTCAAAGAAAAAGAGTAAAATTATTCATAACACGAATATTATGCTAATGGTTATTGCTAAATTCACTCAGTTGGCTATATCCACCCCAGGTATATCAAATAGACAGGTTTGTCTTCAAATATTTAAATAAAAAAAGAAATGAAAGAAGTGTAAGGGCAAAGCTGTTCATTTCTCGTAACTAGAATGGATTTATTACCTCCCTAATATTACCCCCTCCGTCCCAAGAATAATTTCTTGTTCGTACAGAGGTGGTTGTGGTCACTTAAGAAAAGAAGTACTACTTGGGGATAATGAGGATTATTTGGGAATACCTATATAATCAGACAACGAGAGGATTAATTGAGCATGGGACAAGAGTACTGGAAGGTGAAGAATGAGGGAAATGTTAAAAACAAGAGAATACAAGGTGATTTGAGATGTACTCCAGCAGTTCACCTGGAAGAGAATCTTGATAAAGATGCGGGAAGAGGAGGTGGTATCTTCTTCTGTGAGTCGTATGTATGCCAGAACGTGCCAAGGCAATGCATCCGTTCCAAGCAGATGTGCAAAAAACTTGGCAACATTTCGCAGCTTATTGGTTTCCAGGCGATGAATCATAGAGTACTGTTGCATAAAGCACTTCTCAAAGTTCTCCTGGTGAATCTTGTTGATCATACAAAAGCGCTGACCCATAAGCCCATAGTAACGAAGGTAGGTTCTCTCCTGACTGCAGCACTCTAAAAGCATAATGCACAACTCCATCTGTATAAAGAAAAAATCATGTCATCAAAGTTGGATATGATCCCAAACTGAATGCTAAATAAAGCATCAACAGAAAGACATCAGAACACAAAATAGCACCCGCGGTACATTGCCAACAGAGCTAGAAGAGTGAACTATTGAAAATGTGCTCTGAGCACATAATGGACAAAATCAACATGACATTAAACTTTTTTGGCGTCTTCCTTTTCCTATGAAGTTTTAAGCCATAAATGCAGTTATGCATAAAGGGTCTAACGGATATAGCCTCTGTTTTTATGATGCCTTTACAGGGGTAAGACTACGTACATATCAACCCCTCGGACCCAGCTGGAGTTGGTATTATACTGGGTTGTTTATTGTTGGTCATTTGGGATAACTGGATAAGTAGTACCCGCCCCAAAAAAGAGTCATGTTTCAAATGTTCATTTTGCTTGAAAAAGAAGGGTTTGTTTAATAAAACAGAGCTTTTCTATGTAATTTGACAAATGTCACAAATGAGTTTAATATGATAAATTTCAATAAAGTAAAAAATAATTTGTAGAGATCTACTCCCTCTGTCCTAATTCATTCGAACACATTCATTTTATACTGTTGTTTAGGCAGTGGATTTTTTTGGTTGAGATTATCCAAAATGAAAGAATATGAATAAACCATGAAACTTTTTCATTGAAATGAAATGGTGACTCTTTTTAGGGACAGTAACAAGGTTGCATACCATACAGTTTCTATACTTTTCTGAAGCCCCATTAATAAGTTTTTCATGTGGAACAATGAGGGGTCAAGTTAGGAGTGTCAATTCCATCACCCTCATATCAGTGTACCATTTAGGCACAAATAGTATAGCATTTCTTATTTCAATAAACAAAACGGAACATATATCATATATGTAGAGAATTAATGATGCCAACCTCTTGACCAGGCTCAAGTTTGATCCTCAATAGTTTATGGCCTGCTTCCTCAAAGTCAACACTTGACATAATTGTCAGATAGATGGTTCTTCGGAGGTTCACTAAGTTTGTTTCTGTCTCATCTGTTATTTTCATTCGTTCATCCTCATCTTCATCATCTTCCTCTTCATCATCATTCTCAGACTCAACTTCAGAATCATCTTCTTCCTCAGATTCATCACCCAAGAATCTCTTTTTTAGTTCTTCATACTTCTTTTCATTCTCTAAGAAATTGGGGTCTGGCTTGAATATATTTAGTGCATCTTCATCTTCCATAGTATCTTGGAGAGAGATTTCATGGGTCAACTGATCCTCCTGCTCTACTAAATCCAGCTCTGGACGAACAGCAGGATAACCCTGTGTATAGGAACCACATTAACAATATAATCAAAACTTCAGTGGGTCTTTATATTAAGGCCTGAAATTCAACAACACATCCACCTGTTACCTTTCAACATCATATTTATAAAACAAAATTATACCACCGGTATTATAACTGAGACAATATGAATTCAAAACTTCAAATTGAAAAGTTAAATGAGTGTTGGTATACCTGAAACTTTGATTTACGTAATGCAAAGAGACCTTCAATTAAGAACTGGACCCTTTTATCAATCTCTCCTTCATGAAGTATCCCACGAAACCGCTCAAAGATGCCTATTTAAAAACATGTCACATAAGTCACTTCATACACACACACACGTATTTGCATGCAGGACAGTATTCACAAGTTTGGTAAAGAGATTCAAGAATTTATAGAAAAATTTAGCCCAGATAAAAATAATGGAAACAAAGGTCCTTGCCTAAGAGACTGTAATGCTTTAACTACTAAAAAAGCGAACATAAAGTGAGAAGGGACACAGGTCGAAGTAGGTGGAAAACAGGCTACGTATTGCAAATCCCTTAAATCTCGTCTGGACAAAGTGTTATACTTTGACTGTTTCAAGATGAAGAGAATAAAAGGGCGCAAGAAAGGAGATGACTGTGTAGTTCGATTTGACTGATAAAGAACTAAGAATCCTTCATATAAGGATGACAACAACAGTTGATTGTTGGTGATTATCATAGCAAAAATACTGTGCAAATACAAAAGCTGGTTATTTCTTTATCATGTTCATTGGTTGTACTCTGAAATCCAGAAATTTTACAAATGTGTCCTCATAAAAATTAATGCAAGAGTAAACGTATCAATTACAGTAACAGAAATAGAAATCAAACTCTTGCCCAAAAAAAAATCAATTGTCACCTTGAAAGAGAAAGAAACACATCATTTTACATTCACCTTTTTGTGTTACACAGTTCGGGCACTCCACAATAGCACCCTTTACAAGTCATGGCCATTATTAGTATGCTCTAAGGAGAAGAATTCCAGAGGCCAGAGGCCTCTGCTGAAACTAAATGATCTAAAATAAAACAAGTATTAGAGAACAGAAAGCTGCACTAATTTCATCATCAAAGAAACAAGATGATGATTTGCATAAAGTTCAACAAAATAAATGCCTATGCTCAATAACTGAATACAAGTACGGAATCCAAGTAGAGTTACAAAAAGAAAACAAGGAAGTAAAATAGACAAACTACATGACATTGTGACCTAGAGAAAAGATCATGGAAATATTGAATTATACAGCTTTAAGAGTTCACATACCATGCAGTCCCCGTGGAGTGAGATCTTGCAGAATGGAACCACACTCGGTAACAAAACCAACCGCAACTTCAACGCTATCATCTGAAGGATTTTCAAGCAAAACAGCAAGCAGTTCCAGAGCAATCAGCTCATGAACTACCTGCTGGTTGACAAGATGAGCTATGAATTTTACCGCTGCCAACAATTTCGGCTGAAAGAGAAGTACAAAATGAACGTAAAACATCAAATCAATAATGGAGGGACAAAGGGGATGCCGTTTTCATTTTTCAAAGAAAACATGACTTCAGCTTAGGTTTCAATAATTACAACCCCTGTAGAAATAAAGGCTTGGAGAGAACTTTATTGAAAAAAATATGATCTACCTACATAAAGTCATAAACAAAACAGACTGAGGCCAAGATGGAGAGATATACAAACCTTATCATTGCGCTTATAGGCTCTTTGAAGCTGTAACACAATCCTCCTCAAAAGAAGATTTCCTACCTCTGGAAATCTAGTGTTAACAACAGCTACTAAAGCTGCAAACACATCAGTAAAACTGGGAGAAGCCATTTGGGACTTCATACAAGACCGACAGAACAAACCCCTTCCGCGAATCAGATTCTCAGAAAACAATTCTGGAATTATGTTCTTTATATTTGTTGCATTCACTTTATTCACCAAACCATTAATACTCTTCCTAAGAGCATCCCAAGTCATCCTTTGGTATTCGACTGAGCTTTTGTCTTGTACCTCCTTCATCATCCTAGCCAACTTGAAAGGAGGAATATACACTCCTCCAGTCCTCCCCAAATCAGTGGTTTGATTCAGCACACTCCCTTCTTGTTTTGTGACCTTATTGTCCTTACTCAAATTGGTATCTTCTGCAACTTTTTGTTTACTCTCTTCGTCAATATGCTTTCCCCTATCATGCATCCCTTCCTTGCTGGTATACCTCCTATCATCTTCACGATCCTCTGCAAAGTTGGACTTCCTGTCTCTTTCCTTCCTGGCCCTATGTTTGTCTCGTATAGAATCCCTATGATCATCATAGTGATCCTCTCTGTGCCTATTTTCCCTTCTGTCACCATTCCCAGAATCATAGTCCCTGTGTCTGAAGTCACCATTTTTACGTGTTTGAAGACCCATAGCTATTGAATTATTTCTGAAATAAAATTCAAATTCATAAATTTTACTACTTAGTAAAATCAAATATGGAAAAGCAAACAAATAAATTCATAAATCATAAACTCATATCATTTGATTCAATTCGTCATTTTTTCAGTTTTTTCTTTTTCAGTTTTCAGTCTTTTTATATACGTCTTAAATTCATGTCAATTTTTCAGTTTTTCAGTTTTTTTTAGTTTTTCTGTTTTCACTTTTTTATACATATCATAAATTCAAATCAATTCATCCAAATCAAATAAAGAATGTATGGAACCATTAATTCATTCATACTTCATATCAATTAGCAAAGATTTCAAACTAAAAATTAATAATTAACCCTAGATTTTAAATCCAAAGAATGAAACAATGAAAGAAAGAAAATTAGGAAAAAATTACTAAATTGGAAAGATAGTGGATACGGAGTACCTGGAGGGTGCAGCGGCGTCTCTCTACCGGCGGCGTTCTCAGCAGTCGGCACTGGCTTTCCGATTCGGTTTCGGCAGTAGGCTTCGTCCTTCCAGCATCTGCGTTTTGCGATAGTTGTCTACGAAGTACGAAGTAGGAGGGGATGGGGCGGCTAATAATATTAAAAAATAATTGGACCTCTTATAATGATGGGCCTGGTCCAGACGGACTGTTTGTCCCCTATTGGACTGGCCCTGGTTCTATGCCCCAATAGATTAAAAAGAAGACGGCCACCTAGCACTAACATCAAAAGGGGACAAGCACATAGGAATATAGGATATATTCCAAGAGATTGAAGAAAAAATTTAATGATATTAAAAAATTAATATTTCCTCCGTCCTATAATGATCTTTCCGATTCTGTTTACGAAGTTTGACCGACTTTATTTTTAATTTAATTTATTTGATTGTAGGTGTAAAAACTACATCAAAAGTTCTACAAAACAAGTGGTGACAAGACTATATTATTTTATCAAATACCTAATGAAAATACGTAAAGAAAGTGATTAAAGTTTGACCGTGTGAATAGTAAGTGGGAAGAACATTTCAGGACGGAGGGAGTAGATTTTCAAAGATTTTTATAAAACATAGATTTTGATGGATTTTAGCTTTTGGCTATAAATTAAAATTTGAGTCCAAAATTTAACAAAAAAAAGTAAAGATTTTACAAAATTCCAACTTAAGCAATTTCGTGTTGAGGTCACCAGCCGGAGCCTCTTTCCTCTATTATTTAGCAGGTTCTTGGCCTCTTTCTACACACAATCTACATACTCAAACTCGAGTCAAATATGGTTTCTAATGTCTTAACAAGCACATCACTTTAAATCCGGTTTAAAATTTTCTGTCTGATTGACTAATTTACACAATCAAAGAAGGTACAATCAGATGTATCATATAACTTGTTGAAGTACAAAGAATAATTTCTTAAAGGCCAAATTTTTTAAGAAATTACCCAAAATAACAGCAACACATACCATTTATGTTTATAATAAGAGTTTTTTATTCTTATCCATAAAATAAAAGTTTGTGCAATGATATTATGATAATGTATAGTGACATTTCAATGTATTTTATTCCCGAAATAGAACTTAAAATTCATTTACATTACCAAACATAATCATATACATTATCAAAAAAACAGTAATGTACAGATGTACAATGCCACATTACAACCGTGTAAAGTTATATTTCGAAACAAAACATGAAAAATTATATTTTGGTATTTTTCTTTATGTTTTAGTCCTATTTAGGATGATTTCTAAAAAACAACATCAAAATTTTTATAAAACAAGAGCTGACAAGAATATTTTATTTTATCAAATATTTAATAAAATCGTGTAAATAGACAAAAGTTATCGAGATGAGAGAAAAAAAGTTGTAATCAAAATGGGGACGGATAGAGTATTTATTTGTGTATTTTCATTGATTATTTGATAAAATAAAGTATTCTTGTCACCACTTTTTTATAGAATTTTTGATCTAGTATGTTAACTTAAAATATTTTTTATGAAAACCGCTTTTTCGGGGCATCGACTCGATGAAATCGGTACTGGGTCGGCACCGCACCGAATAGCGAAATCCGGAAATTAAATAAATATACAAACTGGAGAGAAAGTATTTATACGTGGAAACTCTAATCTCGGGGGAATTTTCATATACATCATTGTGGGAGCTTGGGCTTTTAATGGAGATCCAAGCTAAAAGAAGAAAAAAATGAAGAATAGTAGTGAAACTTGTAGGAATCTCGCTCCCCCTTTCCCTCCTTCGTAGCATTGAATTTAAAGGGGAGTACATGCATACATCCCCAACAATGCCATGAGGTGGTCATGTCACCTCCATGTGCACATGTTTTGTATATGAGCTCCACGGAATATTTTTACATCACTTCAAATATATTCTTCTGTTCATATATCTCTGGCTCCACCTTGAATAATTTATCTGATTTATATCTTGGGCTAGATTAAATTGGGCTTTCTAGTACTATTTAAATAATATTGGATTAGGAAAAATTCCTAATCCATCACATGCCCCCTAGTTTTGAGTCTTTCTCGGGGAACGAGACAGATTCAAAACTATATGACTCGGTAGGTTGCCTCATGGGATAAAACTTTTCTTGGTACCTCGGGAAGAGGACTTTCTTTTTCAGAGGGTCTCGTTACCTCGTGAGTAAGGATTTAACTTAGGCCCTGTTCCGTTCAACTTATTTTTTCTTATTTTTTCTTATTCTTATTAAAAACAGATCAGATCAGATCAGATTAGATCCAATCAGATCAGATCATGACTTATTAAAATCAGATCCCATCAAGAATTATCATCATCATCATCATCATCATCATCATTATTGTTCATAAAAATGAAAAAGAATAAACTTTAAAAATAGGTTAAATAAAAAAACTGAGAAAGTAATCCTTAATTATTAGACGTCGGAAAAATTAGTTTTAAAATACATTGACAATGTCAATCTAAATCTACTTTTAAAATATATTTTTATTGCTACTTGTAATTTGAGTTTCTAAACTTTTGATCTTTTATAAGGATGAGATATTTTAATAAAAATACTATCTCTTCTATATATTGATTATCTGAATTTAATTACTTTTTAATGTATATCTAAATTAAATATTTATTCTAATTTATAATTCTAATTTTACAAAAAAATAATCATAAAATAAAAATATTATTACATTATAATATGAATGATTATTCTAATATATGAATTAACTATTTTTATTTTATTAAAAAATACTCATTAAATAAAAAATATTAATTATATTATAATATGAATTATCATTACAATTTTCAAACGTTATTATAAAGTCAAATTAAATTATTGATTTGAAATTTTAAATTAAATCATAATTAATCAAATCAGATCAGATCAGATTAGATCAGAACTTATTAGAATCAGATCAGATCAGAAAAAATAAGTTGAACAGAACGGAGCCTTAGTGTCTCTCAAAAGAGGACTTTTCTAGGAGATTTGGTGCCTCTTGAAAAGAGATTTTCTCAGGGATTTGTGCCTCTTGGAAGATGACTTTTCTTAGAAATTTGTGCCTCTTGGAAGAGGACTTTCTCGGGACTTAGTACCTCTAGGAAGAGGACTTTCTCGGGACTTTGTGCCTCTTTGGAAGAGGACTTTCTTGGGACTTTGTGCCTCTTTGGAAGAGGACTTTCTCGGGACTTAGTGCCTCTTTGGAAGAGGACTTGGTGCCTCGAGGAAGAGGGCTTTTCTCGCATCTAGGTGCCTCTTGGAAGAGGACTTTTCTCGCAGCTCGGTGCCTCTTGGAAGAGGACTTTTCTCGGGGATTTGTTGCCTCTCGGAAGAGGGCTTTGCTCGGGGCTCTTTTTTCAATATCCTTTGGGAGCCTCTAAACCCCCACCTGATATCTATCTCACAGTGGTTGGGCGCTCCGCTCTTATTGAATAATAGACAACCCCCGCCCACCTTTCTCTTTCGCTAGCTCTTGTCTCTATCTCGGTACGGGAGTCTATAACTATCTCCAGTAATCTGATCACCTAACTTGACCGAATTACTGACCTCTGCTTTCTATTCTCTAGTAATCCGATCACCTAACTTGATCTAATTACTAACCTCTGCTTTCTATTCTCTAGTAATCCGATCACCTAACTTGATCTAATTATTGACCTCTGCTTTCTATTCTTTTACAGTATTACTTTTCTCAACTTGTACAACTCAAAACAGACTACTTGAGGCTTGATCCGTCCATTTGAGGGACCCACGAAGATGGAATGGTCCACTTAAGGCTAGATCCGTCCATTTGAGAAACCCATGAAGCTGGAGCGGTCCACTTGAGGATAAATCCATCCATTTGAGAGACCAATGAAGGTGGAGCGGTCCACTTGAGGCTAAATCCGTCCATTTGAGGGACCCATGAAGCATTCCACTTCAGGATAGATTCATCCATTGGAGAGACCCATGAAGGTGGAGCGGTCCACTTGAGGCTAAATCCGTCCATTTGAGGGACCCATGAAGCTGGAGCGTTCCACTTGAGGCCAAATCCGTCCATTTGAGGGACCCATGAAGCTGGAGCGGTCCACTGGAGGCCAAATCCGTCCATTTGAGGGACCCCTGAAGCTAGAGCGTTCCACTTAAGGCTAAATCTGTCCCTGGCTCGCTAAAGAGGACCGCATAGAAGACTAATGGAGAGGACTGCAGAGAGGGGCTCGCTACTTCCGTCCGTGGTTTGCCGGAGGAAGTCGGAGCTCGCCGTATCTCGTCGAAGATGAAGGCCTGCTTGTTGTCGATGAGGCTTGCCGGAGCAGAGGGAGCTTGATGGACGAACTGGAGCAATCACGGCCGCTACCATCCGCGGCTTGCCGGAGGAAGTTGGAGCTCGCTTCTTCCGGGCCAAGGTTCGCCGGAGTGGACAATTGGTAGTGGTGTGGCTCGCCGATGGGTCGATGCTAGAGGGGATGTGGTTTGCCGCTGGATCCCGCCGGAGGTGAAGCACGCTTGAGGGCTCACCGATCTGGGAGGATGCTCACCGACTCTGGTGGAGGGTACTGCCGGCGGCCCTGTCGCTTGCTCGCTGCTCGCCGAAAAGATCCCCGCAGTCCGCGGCTCACCGGCGGTCCAGACTCTAGCTCGCTGCCGCTGCCTATAGCTCGCCGAAGGAAGGAGGAGGCTCGTTGGACCTGGTTGTGGACCGACGGAAGGAGTGGCTCGTCGGTGGAGGACCGACGGAAGGAGGGGCTCGCCGGAGAGGACCGGGAGCGGCTCGCTAGAGTGTTGGATCGGCTTGCCTTAAGGAAGGGAGGCTCGCCAGTGGCTCGCCGGTGCTCGTGCTCGCCAAAGGCCTGTCAGTGCGTGTCGCCGGATCTGTGAAGAAGACCACTCCTCCCTTTTCCTATTCTTTTCTCCTTCTTTGACTTTTCAATTTTTTTCTTGATTCTCACTTTGTATCCCTCCTCCTTTGTTTTTTTACTTTCTCAACCCACTTTTTTTCTCTATTACGGACTCGGAGCACAAAAGCTTTTTGTGACGAGTCCCACGGTCGGGGCCAGTGATGGAACCCGCTTTTTCGGGGCGTCGACCCGATGAAATTGGTACCGGGTCGGCACCGCACCGAATAACGAAATCTGGAAATTAAATAAATAAATAAAGTGGAGAGAAAGTATTTATACGTGAAAACCCAAATCGGGAGAAAACCACAGGCCTTTTTAGGCGGTGTCATGCCAAGGGGAGGAACTTTTATTAATCTCGGGTGAATTTACATATACATCATTGTGGGAGCTTGGAGCCATTAATGGAGCTCCAAGCTAAAAGAAGAAGAAAAATGAAGAATAGTAGTGAAACTTGTAGGAATCTGGCTCCCCCTTTCCCTCCTTCGTAGCCTTGTTTTTAAAGGGGAGTACATGCATGGATTCCCAACAATGCCATGAGGTGGCCATGTCACCTCCATGTGCACATGTTTTGTATATGGGTTCTACGGAATATTTTTACATCACTTCAAATATATTCTTCTGTTCATATATCTCTGGCTCCGCCTTGAATAATTTATCTGATTTATATCTTGGGCAAGATAAAATTGGACTTTCTGGTACTGTTTAAATAATATTGGATTAGAAAAAATCCCTAATCCATCATTTTTTTATTGATGTACGGATTTATAAATAAAATGATACGGAGTATTAAAACTTTTCTTGCAAGTGATCTGAATTGTGCAACCATACTTTCTTATAATGCAACCATTGTGCCTAATCCCCACAAGGCTAAAAAATCTTGGAGCATGATTACCTTCGATGAGTGAGGCAAATAAAATTTAATTAGTCTGATTCAAGTCTCAACTTATCAAATCCCAAGTGTTCTCAATCAATGTCCTCCAGACATGTAAGCCCGAAACACAATTGCTACATGTTTTTTTATCATTTGATGATTTTGTTTTGGGTTTGAAATTTGTGATTTTATGTAGTTTTAATTTTTTTTTTTTCAAATTTGCGCATGTCAGTTTACAAAATTAAAACTCTTTAAATTTGGTTTTTAATGCTAATATCTTTGTACTAATTTTCTCTCTAATGTGTAAATATAAAACTGTACAAAGCATAAACAACAACAGTCCTAATAGAATTCCAAGCAGTGGGATTTGGAGTAGATGTTTTTATAAATTTGTCTCAAAGTATAAATTCTCTAAAAAAAGAATTTATGGACAGATAATTAAATACTACGTATATTAATGGTCAAAGTCGTGGTGGATTCAAACTTGAAGTTCAAAGCGATTGTACTAAAAAGATTGGAGGTCAGTGGGCTGATAATTCTGCATTTTTTGTCATATTTTTTGGTCTAGTGAAGAAAGCTTTGGATTGCTGGTGTGAGAAAAGCAAACATTCTTAGTTCAACTTCTGAGAGCACAAGTTGTTTCCCACATTTTGTTATTTTGGTGGGAATAAATTCAGAAAGCTTAGATTTTTGTTATTGAGAACCACATGATTGCCATTATAATTGCTCTATTAAGTTTTTTTTTATTGTAGGCTTGTTGCACATTGATATGTTGTGAAAATTATGGATAGATTTTGCATAACCCTCCATGATCACCAGTGACATTGCGGTAGAAATCGATATTTTGTGCAAGTTATGGACCAAGTTTTGCATAAATGGTCCACAATTACTTAATGTTCCACAGTTGTACAGTTGTAACATTATTTGTTGGCTGCTTCATTTGGTGTAATGAGAGAATTCTAGTAGTAACATTATTTATACAATTGTACTGCAGCATGAGCGTATTGAATAAGAAAGCTTGTCACGATGATATCGTCAGCAGCCTACCCGACAGTTTAAAGGAAGCCATCTTAGCATGTTTGCCTCTTAGAGATGCCGTGAGGACCAGCGTGCTCTCAAAGAATTGGAGGTATTCATGGACTAGACTCCCACACCTTAACTTTGACAACACAGTTTGGCCACGATCAGATGTGGATGAGGATTCGGCTTTCCTAACATGTATCAGGCGCATCTTCCATGTTGTGCTGAATCATGAAGGTCCTATGACCAAGGTCACACTTATGATTCCCAGTCAAAAATTTTACCCGGAAGTTGACAACTTATTCCTCATACTGTCAAGAAGCGATGTTGAGGACCTCAAACTTTCCTCATCTGCTGTCTTGTATAGATTGCCTTCAACCTTCTTCAGATGTCACAAACTGAAACACCTTCTACTTGTTTCTTGCTTGCTACATCCCCCTCTTGGCTTCACCGGGTTTAGGCAGCTTCTCACCATTGTAATGTTTAACATATCCATTGGTTCTGAACACCTTGAAAATCTTGTAGCCTCTTGTCCTCTACTTGAAATATTGAGGCTAAAGGTGTCTGTCACATTCGAATCACTTAACCTTCAGGCTCCTAAACTCAAACTATTTAGTATTGTAGGCAGAATAAAATCTGTTTGTTTCAAGAACACCCCACTCCTTGAGAAAGTGGCGTTGATAGACTGCACGTTGTATGGAGACCATTCAATACGAGGAAACTATAAACTGGTTGAGCTTTTCAGTTCTCTGCCGGCACTTAGGGTTCTACGTTTTAACTCTAACTTCGTCATGGTCTGAAAACATGTACTCTTCTATTTTTTATTACTCCTGTTAAAGTCATTACATGATTTCCGCTGGGTAGTGATAAATCTGTGTTTTGGGTGTAATGCTTGAAGGGTATAGCGGCAGGTGGAGTCCCAAGAAGAACTAGTTTGAGAGCAGTCCATCTCAACTCTCTTATTCTGGAACATTATCGTTTAGACGATCTGGTGGGGATGCCATTTGTGATTTTCCTGCTTAGAATCTCGCCAAATTTGAAAGATGTCAAAATTTCAGTGAGTAAATCATTCATCATGTCATTGTCTTGATTTATTCAACTGGTTCTTTCTGAATTTCAGACTTTTTTTTTCTTTCTCTTGATTTTAGCACTCTAATGTTGCGGCTGGAATAGGCCAGCGTCTTTATCCCCATTTGCTGGATGTCGGGGAATATTCAGATGTAAAACTGGATCAGCTCAGGGTGGTGGAGATTAAAGAGTTTACTGGTGCAAGGAACGAAATGAGACTTGTAAAACTTCTTCTAATCAATTCACCCAGGCTCGAAAAGATGGTAATTCGAGCCAAAGCCACGGCGTGTACTGAACAACAAGAGCGCATGATACTTAAAGAGCTAATACGATTGCCCCGTCCTTCACCAATTGCAGAGATCATCTATGAATAGGTAGGCTATTGTTTACATGTGTCGATACCATTGCTTGCATTTGAATGTGTTCTTCCAGTTATTGTTGTGTGGTGTGGCATTTGCTCCTTGTTCTTACTATTAGAGTTTAGAAAGCTTGTCCAGGGTAGTGGGTAGCATTTTCTGATACTAACAGGTGCATAATATTAAAACTTCTTTGTGATTATTTTGGAGATCTTGGCTGGTTGATATAGCTAAGGGAGTAATAGGAGTAAATTATTTCGACCATGATTACCCTTGTCATGGTAATTATAAGACTAACTCGTGTGAACAAGTCTAATCCATTCCGTTAGTGTTCTAAGTTCAAAAAACTCAAATCTAGCTCAACGGAATAATTCTCAATCTAAACAATTAAATCCATTACCATGGTTCTTTTGACACCTAACACTGGTGTCAATTGCAGAGCGAAGCGTCATAGAATCCTAAAGTAACAAACTAAACTGAAAGGTTGTGTGAAGAATGGGGTAAAAAACTATCTGGGCAAACAAGGCAGGGAATAAGATAAAATAACATAGAACAACAAAAAGACTGGTCGTGAAGACTGCAAGCAAAAACATGGGTTTAGATGTCCAAAAACTGTCCACCCAAACTGTCCCTTAATGCTCATCTTATATGTAGGATTAATGCACCAGACTACCCTTTTTAAATCAGGGGTATCTTCTCGCCTACAGTTGTGTTTAATGCCTATGATATGGTCGTTGGCTTATTATTTACAGATTCTTTGGTTGAACCCATAAGGACACTTGTATCAGCAATGAATCCATGCAGTCTTCATTCGATTAAACTTCTAACAGAATGAAAGTTGCATCTTTTTTTACACAGGTGCAGGCTGCACAAGAAATTGTTCATAGAGAAGGTCATTCGAACGCCTGAGCTCTATCCAGATCGCATTTTGTACTAGTAGTAAACTGAAAAGGAAGGAAAACTCAGGTTCTATTTGCGGGAATGTGTTCTTTTTGCCTATTTCTTGGTCTGGTCTGGCCAGTGACGAACGTTAACCAACTGAATGGAAAAATAATGGAATCCTTTTGGTTTTGAATGGTTTCTGAAGACCACTGATGCGAGCTCTTGGAGACGCCATAGTAGGACGGTGGAGTCTTTGTATACGCTGGGTGTGCCGGGGGCGTAGCTTAGATTACAAAGGGGTTGGTTAGTCACTTGGGATATGTCTAGATTTTTACAAAAACNGGGGGGGGAAATATGCTAAAGAAAGCTAAAAAATGCTACTTCGACACCACATGAGTGACAATGGGGATGACACTGAATGTGAATTTCTTTGCATCATGCCTGTGAGAACATATTCATAGATTGTGTCATCTCTGGTGTCATTCTTGGTGTCGGCATAACATGGCTCATTCTCAAAGTTGTTCGTCCTTTTGCCTTTCTTATCAGCACAATTCTTTTTAGCTATGCAACTAAGGTGGCGTTTGGCATTGATCTCAGCATATTTGAAGGCACTGTACAACATTACCAACAATAACTTTTATAGAGTAAGTTTTAACGTTTTTAAAATAAATCTATACCATAAAAAAATTACACTCCCTCTATCTCCAAAAAAGACTCATTATTTCTTTTTTGGTGCATCCCAAAAAATGCATCTCCTTTCCTTTTATAAAAAAATTTGAGTGCTTCATACTCTTCTAAATCATTTTTAACTACACATTTTCCTTATCATTAAACTTTGTGCTAAGTCAAACATGGTTCTTTTTTTGGGATGGGGGGAAACTAAACACTAATCAAGATTTTTACAAACAATCTAGACAATGTTGCGTAACTTGGGGGTGGTTCAAATGAGATTCGATGCTATTGTCATAACATGACTTGGGGTGTATGCATTGTTTCGCTCAAAAATTAATACTCCGTAGTTCTTATCCTTTGTTTCTCTACACCCCGTTCCCCTAGCCTCCCGCTTCTCTGCCGATCGGCGAGGAAGGAAGGGGTGATTGGTTGTAGGATATAGTGAAATAAGAATCATCATTTTTTTAATGGAACACCGTAAAAATTTTGGATCATGCTATAACATTGAGTATCAATGTGATTTAAATCGGGTGGCGTAACTTAACAATCTTGATAAGCTTAGCTAAAAGGAAGTTTTTGAAAACTTAGTATTAAAGGAATGAAAATGAAAATTAGGATGGAGTGATTCCTCTTCGGCCAACTACAATGAATAGAACTCACTTCTCCCGCTTAAAAGTCCTCTGCATGTTTAGATTTCACAAGTACTTTCTTTATTTTTTTCCTATCAAAACAAATTATTTCATTTTTAAAATAAAGAATCTGTGACTAATAAAATTTCTCTCCTATTAAATAAGTACATACTAATTAATTATAGCTTTTAATTTTTCAACACTTTTTTAAACATTACTCCGTATAAAAATCAAAATGACTTTTTTTATTATGAAATGAATGGAATAGTACAGAAAAATATGAAGCACACGATAAAATTTCTCTCTTATTAAGTAAATACATACTAATTAATTATATTTTTTAAATTTTTCAAAACTTTTTTTAAACATTACTCCGTATAAAAATCATAATGATTTTTTTTATTCTGAAATGAATGGAATAGTACAGAAAAATATGAAGCACACGACTGATGAGGGAAAAAACATGAGCATATATGTTTTGTTATAGCCCCGAAGTCCAAAATAAACAATAAACTTAGATTGTGCAACGTATATAAATGTGGTATACAAATGATTTTTTTGGGGTTTATTAACATTTGAAAAGATACGTTTAAAATGAAAATGTGACACAAAATCTTTATTTGAATCAAACCTGGCATGTACCAAATTTTAAACAAATAAAAGTTACATATACAAACTCTGTGGGGTAGATTTAGGACATGTTTGAAAATAATGAAAATATCATCAGAGATTAGCATTAATATTTTGAAAAGTCTATTTAGCACTAATATTTTCAAGATAATCTGCACTATTGATAAAAAAACGTGTTAATCTCTACCCAAAGCCTAAAATAGTCCGTTTGGAATGAGTTCGGCCAAAATTAGGAAAAACAATTGTGTGCAAACTGCAAAGTGCAAACTACTGCAAAATTGTCTTTTTTGCAATAACTCCACTCCACCAGTGGCATAATGGGGCATCCATGGGAGGGGTAGTAGTAGTACTGTAGTAGACAGTTATCTTCTTGTTCTTGATTGTGGACTGTGGTGTATGAAAGAGAGAGAGAGATGATGAGTGACGGCGGAGGAGGAGGAAGCGGCGGAGTTGCAGCAAGAGTGAGTTCAATCTTCATATACCCAATCAAATCGTGCCGTGGAATCTCCCTTTCTCAGGCACCCCTCTCCTCCACTGGTAACCCGCCCTTCTTCCCTTTCTTTCTTTCTTTCTTGTTTTTCTTTTCAAGTTTTCATCTTTTCTTGTTTCTCCATCTTCCTGTCTATATGCATCTGCCTGTGGGCGGAGAGACTTCCACACCCTTTGGTTGTAGAAAGGCCAAAGCTGGGAACTTTTCCCGGAGTTATGTCATTATGTGATGAATCTGCCTCAAAATATTGGTCGGATTCATTGTGATTGAAGAAGAATTTTTCATTTTCCATTTTGGAGTTTGTTTTTTTTTTCTATAGAAAGTTGAGCCTTTTTTTCTTGCTTTTGGGTTCTCAAGAATTTAACACTCCGTAGAAGCCAACTTCCTCTTCAACATTTTAAAAAGCACCTTAAAAAAATCTTATTTGAGGACATAGGTTGAAAATGTCAAATAGGCAGTCCCAGCTTGTCATAAACAACCGTATCATATTTCAATGTCAGAGATCTCGGAGCACTTATATCATTTTTTCCAGATTTCAGAATCAATATTCTATACCCTGTGTCCTTCACCAATGGGGTTCTAAGTATTTCAAATGATTTAGCCATTCATTCATATTACCAAATGTTTTATATCTTGAATAGTTTAGATAAGGAGAAATTGATGAAAATAATCCAAACTGTTATTATTATTGTATTATTATTATTTTTATTTTTATTATTATTATTATTTTGAGCAGGATTTCGATGGGACCGACAATGGATGGTTGTGAATTCCAAAGGTCGGGCAATCACCCAAAGAGTTGATCCAAAGCTTGCGCTAGTTGAAACTGAACTGCCAAACGAGGCTCTCTCTCAGGGCTGGGAACCAAATGAGCATTCATATCTTAGTAAGTACTTTATCTATCCCAAACTAATTTACTTTACTCACTTTGACTTCATGAAACTTCAAAAAGATAAAGAAACATGTTGAAAAATATTGAATCGCGAAAAGTGAGTAGTTAGAATTTGTTTAGGAGATATACAAGTATTTTGGACCACTTATTTATTTCTAAAAAGAAAAAAAAGAAAAAGTCAGAAAATGATTTTGGGACGGATAAGAAAAGGAAAGCGGGAAAACTTTTGTGGGACAGATGTATTAATATATACTTCCTCCGTCCCAAAAGGTTTACCCACTTTCATTTTTTTGATGTGCCATAGAAATATAGAGTACTGCTCTCTTTATTTCCTTTTTTAGTAATGAACCTATGACACAAGATTTCTCTCTAATCTAAACAAATTCTAACTACACACTTTTCAACACTTTTTTTAAATTGTGTGAAAATCAAATGAGTCAAAATTTTCTTTTTGGGGGACAGAGAGAATATATTTTTAGTTTTACCATTTCCACTGATTTTTTTACATGTCAAAGACTCAAAGTAACTAACTGAATTCACTGTGGGCACTAATTAAGGCCCCCGGCGTTGAGGCACTGCAAGTTCCATTAAGCAAGCCTTCTCTTGTGACAACTGATGGGGTTTCAGTGTGGGAATGGTGTGGCTCTGCATTTGATGAGGGTGATGAAGCAGCACGGTGGTTCTCCAACTATCTTGGAAAACCCGCTCGGCTCGTGCACTTTAATGAAGGTTAGTGTTTAAAATATCGCACACCGGGTAAAAGTCCTTGAATTGGTGAGGTAAAATTTGGCTGATACTGTTCTGCTGAGTTAAGACGTGTCTAAAATTGATGAGTTCCATAAATGTGTTTCATCATATTTTTCTTTGCTTTTCACAGCATCAGAAACAAGGCCTGTGGATGCCAATTACGCCACTGGATACAAAGTTAAATTTTGTGATGGGTATCCATTTCTAGTGCTATCTCAGGTTTGTCAAAACTAATATGGGAGTATTCTACTCCCTCCATTTACATTTAACTGAATTAGGACTTTTGTGAGAAGTGAATATGGACATGTAATATGTCTATATTCATTTAACTTTTGATGTATCACAAAAGTCATAATGGTCGGCTAAATGTGAATGAGGGAGTATAAGTGTGAGATAGAATGCTTCATGTTGCAGGGGTCATTAGATGCGTTAAATGCCCTTCTCAAGGACCCAATTCTGGTGAATCGTTTTAGACCCAAGTTTGTGCTTTCTGTTCTTTTTTTTATAAATTACTTTCTGGTGGAAACCGGATGCTTTATTGCAGGTACCCTACCCATCTCAACCCTAATGGGATGGATTTGAATGGATAGTCATTGGGTATGATGCGGGTTCGGGTAGGGTTTAAATTATAGTGTAGCACCCTCATTGAATTGGACCTAATTTGAAGTTTTGATTTTTTGCATGTCCACAGTATACTTGTTGATGGGTGCGAAAAATATGCGGAGGATTTGTGGAAGGAGATCATCATAAACAAGTCCCCCTTCTATGGTGTTAAATTATGCAGTCGCTGCAAGGTACTACTCTCTCCGCTCTCAAATAACTATCTATTACGGAGCATGACTTTTTACACACATAAAAAATCGAATGAATAGTAGTTACATACATTTTGTCCATATTCATTTGATTCTTAATGAATATAGAAAGTGAACTGTTATTTAAGAAAAACAAAGAGAGTTCTTTTATTTATATATAAAAACTAGTGTTAAAAACAATTATTCGACACCAATTATGAACTTCCATTGGCTAAATGAGTCATTATTGGCAAATATTATTGGGTAAATAACAAACTACGTCATCATGGCACGTTAAAATTCATTTGCTTCTTACTCGGTGTCTTTTTCACATATGTAGTGTTGCATATATCTTGACCCCCACTCAGCTCCCCCAAACAACCCTTCTTGTTGTAATCTGTCCCCTCCCACCCAAATTAATCTTCCCACTTTCTTCTTTGGGTTGTTCCAAAAAAAAAACTTCTCATATCTTAAAATGAATGGAGTAAGTGGTCCAAATTGATTCTTTCTCTCTCTGTCTCTCCATAAATGTCAACCAAACAATTTCATTTTTCTTAAACTACATGAAAAAGTAAATAAGAAGATTTAGGACATAGGGTCTATGTTCAAAATGGCAAGGTGGAAACACACCTCAAAGGGCTCTCAGGGAGTTTGCCCGGAAAAAAATGCCTCAAGGCGAGCTAACCTTATGCGATAAACCATTTGAAGCAATTGCGGACTGAAAACTAAAACTGACAATCCAATCCAAGCCCGACCTTAAACTTAATACTTCTCATTTTTCTTATTTATGAATAAATGTAATTCAAAATCTTGCTCTATCCTCTAGTTGAATATTGAGTACTTGTTTTTTTATTACTTTTCATCCTTTTTCTTACATTTTGTGAAGTCAAATACCAAAGTTTATTTCAGAACGAAGAGAGTAGCATATCTATTATTGAGAGTTTGACGGGTGGGCAATGGGTTGGTCGGGTGACACTAGAGATTGGGCGATTGAAAGTTCAAAATCATACCAGCCCCATTAGTAGTATATTTTCTCTGTAACAATACTCGTCCCAAGTATCGTGTGGATGTAGTGTGATATCCACTTTCACCACCCTACCTTCCATTCCTAAACTCCATGGATTGTGACATTACTCCTCCAATGTTTATTTTGGGACAAAAAGAATATTACTATATATTTAACTTTATTTTGGTATGTCTCCTTCAAGGAATTTCTTTCTATTCCTATCTTCTTTTCTTGTCAAAATGAAGTCTCAAGCATTGCATATATTAACATTGCGGCGAAGGCAAAAGTATGCACATAGTCTATAAGCCAGGGCCATGGCGAGTAGAACCCAGACTTCCTTCAGTCCGCCATTAAGATTCACCGTGTCAAAAGAAGGCGAACTTTGTAGAGTCTTACACCCCCCTTCACTTCCACACTCATATAACTCATTTCCTTCATATTGCACCTTCAGCAGAAGCCGAAACCCATAGTACATAAATGACACATACTTCAGCCACTTCATGAATTTTGGTATGTGCTGCAAGTATACAGGAAAAAAAGGTTCATACTTTAAAAGCATTATGCCAAACAAATAATGATAATAATAATAATCGTAATCATAATTATCATAATAATGGTACTGGAAAACCAGATTTCCATATTGAATACCTGAACATAATAGCCACCAGTGAGTAGAAACAACAACAATATCAAAGAAGCTATCATCCCTGCCCTTCTAATGCTCATCACTGCAGCTCCAAACAACTCTCCTGCCCCCTATTTCATAGAAAAGTGATTGGCACATGAAAAATCATTTCAACAATAATGATGATGACCTAGCGAGGTCCCTCAAGTGGGGTTTGGAGATGGTGGATGTACATACACCTTACTTACCCCTACGTGTAAAAGCAAGACACTGTTTCTAAAAGATCCTCCGCTCAAAAAACATAAAACCATATTAGACTTGTTTCCCTTAAATATATCCCCTTGCGTTTGTCCTTTTATTGAAGCACTTAGGTGTGTTTCTTGAGGAAGAGGCATAGATTAAATAATTACTCCGGTTTGAAATGAATATCCATTAACTAAGGACATTATATTTCACATATAACTACCTATCTGGCAAACTTTAACACAAAGTAAAATGATTTCCACTATCAAAATTCTGGAGGTAGGTAGTAGCATCTTACTTGACTGGTTATTGCAATCAAAAGGATTGACGATAACATTAAGAAGAAACATTGGGCCGTTCTTTTGAAGCCGACCATGAAATAAATGACAGACATGAATAATGTAGGGTATGTAACATGAGCAACCATGTCACACAAAGTACTGCAGACATAGTATACACTTAATCTGTACATGTCTGCTTTCCTTTCCTTCACCAGATATATCTTCTCGAATGGGAAAACGTATACTGCTCCGAAGATAGATGAAGACGTCCAGAAGATACAAATGTAGAATATTAAACCAATCTGCAATTCAAGGAAAAAGTCGTGGCTTTTAAAAATAGAACTAGTATGATGAACATAAATATTAAAGGAAGAGTGGGACTTTTTGTGATTTCCTGATCTCGAAGCTGCGCCTCAGTTGCTGTAACAGATTTCCACCAAAGCAGTCCAAGGAGGATCGCAACTCCGATTGCCTGAAACAGACGTATCTTGTCAAAATAATCTCTGCGTCTTTCCTTGAATGTTCTCTTGGACAGTATCAAGAATTGATCGAACCATGACATTGTCCAGTCTTTCTTCTCTTGAATGGCTGTCTGAAGATGTGTAGGGGCATTTGGCATTTGATGGCTCTCTTTTGACTCCAAGTGGATTGCGCACTTCTGTTGTAAATACTGATAGATACATAGACAATATTGAAAAAGTATGTCATCGAATTTAAGGATTTTCTATTAGTTAAGCAAGTTTAGCACAATTAGAAACAGAGTAAAAGGCTCACTCTGATTATAAGCCTCTCAGATTCCGCTGTCCCTTTAGTAGGGATTATATCTTCAGGTATGCTTATGTCATTGACTTGTCCAGTTGCTAGATCAATCAAGAATTCTGCAGGATTCATCACTATTTCAGGGATGAATCTTAGAGATGAAAAGTATTCCATGGAGTCTCTCGCTTTCCCATAATAGACTGGAGAACCCTCAGAAATCAATAAAATCTTGTCAAACATGTGATACATCCTACTTGAGGGCTGGTGGATTGTTGTAATTATTGTTCTTCTCCCCTGTCGGTCACCAAAAAGAATTGTTAACAGGTTTCTTAATACACAGCTGATTAGGCATGGACATGGTCAATCAAATCAAGAACTTCGTACCTTTGAAAGACCTTGCAGGATTTGAAGGAGTCTATTTGCAGAGGATGAGTCTAATCCAGAAGTTGGTTCATCAAGCAGCAGTAGAGAAGGATCAACAAGAATTTCATACCCAATGCTGGTTCTTTTCCTTTCTCCGCCAGATATGCCATTGACGAATCCTCCTCCAACCCGTGTTTGTCGACACCTTTGATTTGAAATTTTCATCGGTTAAATAATAAATATTCATAAAAACCTAACCTTGGTACTGCATGTTTCTCTGATCTATACATACCTTTCAAGTCCTAATTCCTTAATAATCGTCTCCACCCTTTCATATTTTTCTCGCCTACTTATATCGCTTGGCAATCTCAACAATGCAGCAAAAACTAAGGTTTCCTCCACCGTCAGCTGTGGGAAAAGCACATCATCTTGTGTCACAAAACCCACCCTACAGGTCAAGCAATCCAAAGACATAGCATTTGGTATACATTTTATAATAAAAAAACACGCATTAAAAAAAAGCACAAAGAGAAGCTACTAGCCTCCTTTTAAGGGCAGCAGTGTATGTAATGTCATTGTAAGTTATAGTGCCCTTAACATTTTCATGCATTCTGCCTCCTAATATCCTTAGCAGTGATGTTTTCCCACTACCAGAAGGCCCCATCAGTGCAAGAATTTCCCCTGGCCCCACGCTTCCTGTGATGCCTTTCAGTATCTGCTTATAATTGTCATGCGCAATGCTAAGCTGTGACGCCACATTCGACACCACTGCCTTAACCGGGTTCTTGGGCGATGCCTGCCTGACCTTGACCTTGTACTCCACATCTGAAAACTGCAACAAACAACCGAAACAAAAACAACATTTCCATCGGTCAACAAACTTCTGGCATCAACACATGCTTAATTAGAGTTTAAGACTAGACATTCTTCATACCTTGAGATAGATTGGAAGGGCACGATTAATGCTTGAGTGTGATGTTTCATCAACAATGTCTATTTCTGTGCTTCTGTTTGTGAGGTAAGCTTGAGGCATGAAGTCTATGTTATGTCCAAATCCATTGCTGCATGCAATTTGCATAGACCCCATGGTGGGAGGGGACAAAGCAAAATCTTCATGAATTTCATCATGTCTTCCATGCTCCATTTTTTTAAAACCTCTTAATTGATTATTTTTCTTAAATGGTGTTAAAGAAATTAAACTTGTGATATATATGCAGGACTGAGGTCAAATCACCTCACGGTCACCCACCAAAAGTTAACCTGCATGTCTACAAAGAACTGTTAAGCCACATTCTTTCTATGCTCAAACCAAAAAAAAAAGCTAGTCAATATTTAGTTGTTACATGCCCAGAGCACTGCTCTTTTATAGTTGTATTGCCATTTATGACTTTGTCCTCAAGATTTTAATTAAAGAACCATCACTGCCTTAATAATACAAGTGTCGTTTGACTCTTCTATAACTAAATTGTATTTAATTTCTCCAACAAAAAAGAAGCTAAAATCATTAAATAAGCTTCCCTTGAAATGTCATTACAATATCTGTCTTTAAATATTTTTTATTTGTGTGATGAGTATTATTTGCATTACTCTAAATAAAATGCTTAGACATTATCTCATACTAGCGTTTGTTGTGTTTGAGACCTTATAATTGGACTATATGCTAAGATAATGTCTGTGTGTGCACGCGTGGCGTGCGTGTTTTACAGATACCTACAATCAATCAAGAAACAGCAGAAACGGGGAAGGAGCCAACTGTGACACTGATGCGGTTCCGTTCGGACAAAGTGTTGCTTCCTAACAGGAAACAAAAGGGAAATGTAAGTACATTGGAAGACTTAATTCATTACTTCCAACAACATAACCTGTTTTGTTTTTTGCCTCTTTGCTAACCTTAATCTCATCAAATTTCAGGTGTTTTTTGGACAGAACATGGTTTGTGCCGACTCCCTTCGCGAAGGAGGAGGAAGGATAATCAGAGTTGGTGATCCTGTTTATGTCATCAAAGCAGTGCCATCATGCACTGAAGCAGCAGCTTGACGAACTCTTCCATGTTTGTGTTTTAATAATAATAATAATAATAATAATAATAATAATAATAATAATAATAATAATAATAATAATGCTCTGTAATAATGATTAATGAGGGTGGAGAGGATGCCTCCACCAAGAACTCGATGTTATCCTCCAATAAAATTCTGTTATCTCAAAACTATTCAAAGTACTTAAATTAATGAAATGTATTTTCAATTAAAAAATACATTTCATTAATTTATAAAATAAAATATATTTCATTGATTAAATAAAGAAATTTTTATCCAACATGTCAAAATGGAGCAAGTGAGATGATGTCTTTCCTTGTTATATTTGTCGTACGAACAATGGAAGTATGATATATTCGGCTAAATACATATTTCCTCCATTTCATTTGATTTTTATTGTCATTGTGTATATGTAATCAAATCATTCTCTTTCTTTGGAGGGGTTCGTATGACATTGGAATCTCTTGTCATGGAATGACTCAGGGCTACTACGGTACCTCGTTCAAAAAATTAGCAGTTTCTTACCCCATTAATTTTACACCCCTCCCCGATCTGAACACACCCTCACTCCTTCAATTGCACACCTCAAGTTAATTTTAACTTTGGAGTTAATTTGATATTTCTTTTATATTTTCGTCTTCATTTATAAAATAATACTTATGTCACTTCTTGTTTTGCCACATAATTTTCAAAATATAGAGTTTAAATTTTATTTTTCAAATTTTACACCAATATTAAATTAAATGGTTTGAAAATAACATCAATCAAGCATTGCAAACCATTCCCTCAAAAATCAAATGGATTGGATGGCGTACAAAACTATACTCCACTTTTGTAAAAAAATACTGGTCCATAAAGACCATAATAAATTGTTCTTTGATCAAATGGTAGCTAAACATTATAATGATAAATACAATTGTTTCATAATAACTGAAACAAAAACAAACAAATAAACGTTAACACCCCCTTAAAAATAAACAAACCCAGACAAACAAGGTATGTGTGGGTACCTAGAGAAAAATAAAGACAGATAATATATCTTTACTATTGAATATTGAGTGTGCTATCTTTAAAAAGAAAAAAAAACCCACTACCTTGAAAGAGTAATGCCACAATCACACCACGGATGACAACAAGGTTCACATCGCCGGCATTTTACAGACAATACTGCCAGCATTTTACAAACAATGAATTTTCCTAGACATATTTTCCAACTTGAAAATGGTTCATCTCTTATACTCTAACCAATAGCTGCAAACATACTGTGTACCACTCAGAAATGAGAAGCTTGTCTAGGCTTTGGTGCTACATATAAAGTATCACCACACTCGATTGGCGCGTGCATAAGTGGGTTCCACCTGTCGAACACCAGCCTGCCACCTCTGCCGATTCGCCCGCGAAAGTTAGATGAGGGTGTAGACGAGGAGGCGGTTGGAGTTGACAAAGAAGTTAGTGGAGGTGGAGGCATTGTAATGCCAGCTGCTGCCAGACACTCGGGATCCAGAGGCTTAGTGAACAGTAAAACAGGTTTCCCCTGTACCTGCATTAACCCCACAATTATATAGCAAGCTACACATGCTCATTACCTCTCCCATACTAAAAGACCGCCACTATTCCGATCAGCCTTGGTGGAACCGTTTGGGAAGGCGGGAAGGCACTTGTTAGTCAAAGGACGATTACCACAAAAAATGAAAAATGGCTTCCCCTTAATTGGGTCCGACGTCATTTTACATTGTGACATTCAACCAAGGCCATTATCACTTCCAACAATCACAGGCAAATTTCAAGTTTTTAATACATGAGGCATCTTGAAGAAACCACTTCCCCCCTTCCCAAACAAACCCTCAAGCTAAAGTTTGGATTAAGTTTTTTGAAAGAGCTTGAGGGTCAAGTCTACATCTTGATATATGTTTAAAGTGTTATTATAAAGGAAGAACATGATAGGTCTCCATATAAGATTTCAGTCACCTTCATTTTAGATATACTCCGCGTTACATTTATAAGATATGTAGATTACACCCTCTGAACCAAACTGGCCTTAAAAGATAACATGAAAAGTTCTGCATGCATGGTTGATACTATAGAAAGTCAAGTGGACAAATGGGCCTTTGTTTTCTCTTTTTGTGTGTGTGTGGGGGGGGGGGGGGGNGGAGCCACCCAGTTGGGGCCTGACGATGTTTGAACTTTCTCCTCATGCTCCCGGTGGAAGCAAACCTGACCTTTGGGTCCATGGAAGGAAGATTATGTACCGCCACAGAAGGTTGATTGTATGGGTGGCAAATATCAGCATCATCTGAGTCAACAAATTCATCTTCACTTGAGCCAGCCATACTTGGAAATGAATGAAATCCGTGTAGAGTGAAAATATCTTTTAGAAGCTCAGTATCATTCTGAAAGCACATAAAAGCATCCGTTTTGTAAATTATTTAGAGCAAAATGATGTCAAAGGAAAAGAGGAAAACAAGGTCTTCTGCTATTGAGTCACAAAGACATCTGGTCCTGCAACACACTTAACTGAAATCCAGAAAGCTAATCCTAATGCCTAGGCGGTCAAATTGCAGAGAAGTAATGACAATTCTACAACCAATTTCACTAGCAAGTACCAACAAAGATTTAGGCTCCACTTGGTAGCCTTATCTGGCTTAGTCCTACTTAGTCTGCTTATCAAGAGAACAAGCATAATAAGTAGCTTTTGACTAGCTAGGCTGAAATGAATTGAAAATACTTTCCGTTACACAAAATTCAGCCAATTCAGCCAAATAATCCTTACCAAACGGATCCTTACTCGCACACCTGATTATATGAATAATCAATCATATTAAGTAAGCTAACAATTATATCAAGTTAATTTTTAATCTTTTTAATTATTTATTAGTAGTTTTTTGAATGCCCATCTCCAAAATAAGGAAAACGTGGTTTTTTTGCAGAAATGTACAGTTACATTCAAGGACCTGAACAAATCTAATTGAAAAAATGTCAACCACCGACTTAGTTTTAACACAAAGCAGGGCCAAGTTTGGGACAGGAGATTCAGTTTGCCTAATTGACCTACTAGTAGGAACTAGAAATTGAATACTCCCCCCGTCCCAAAAATAATTTCTCACTTTGAGTTCACAGGACTTAAGGAAAGTATGTGGTTAAAATTTGTTCAGAAGAGAGAAAAACTGTGAGAGGCATATTCCTTGCCTTGAAAGGAAATCAAAAAACTGAAAAAGTGAATTGATGTTGGGACAAATGAAAAGAAAAAGTGGGAAATTCTAGGGAGCAGTTTCCAAAATGTCATGATATACCACCACCTCATTTTGCAAATGCAAACACACAAAAAAAAAGTAAATTGAAAAATCAAATTCACCGGTATACCTTATGTTGCATTTGAAGCCTCTGAAGGCTAATTTCACTCTCCATAAGGTCTCGTTTTTTCTCTTCTCTCTGCAAGCAATTCAAATGAAAAGTTCATGAAAGCTGGCAGATATAGTATTTCTTTGCAGCTCATCTAACACTATTTCTATTTAAACTTACCTTGACAAGAGTGTCAAGAATGGACTTTGCTTGTTCAAGGTTGCGCCTAACCTGAAGATGGTGAGTTATTCATTACTTCCAAGAAGTGATAAAAGAAGCAAAGTATCTGACTAACTGACATGTGTAATAACTCATACTATTATTACAAATATACAAGCAAGCAATTTATACATTGCTCACTAACCTGATCAGTGGATTTTGGAAGGGAATGGAGAATTGGTTTTATTAATTTATCTTCATTTGTTAGTCTTAGATTGGAAAACAACTAAACCCTTATTTAATCTTGTTTTATGTATAATTTACTATCTACTGTAGTCTGTAAAACATTAATAAAATACATATCACTCCTTCCCTTCAAAATCCCTAAACCATATTTGGTCTTAAGTCTTAATCAGCAACATGAATGAGTTCTCTTGGATGTTTGAGCTGCATTTACTTATAACAAAGAAAATTTCCCATGTGCTTTCCCAAGAGACATATATGAGTCTTGGAGTCACCATAACATTCAACAGGAACATGTAACCCCCCCCCCCCACACACACACACACTCTCT